CCCCAAAACCCCAAAACCCCAAAACCCCTTGAAGAAAAAATCATTTATCTTTGGAAATCTGATTATAATAAATGAATTATTTATCATATTTCTGCAATATATATAGAATTACTAATATTTTATTTCTAATCGATTTTATGCGTCTTATTCTTATTCTTTTTAACCTTGACTTTTTTCTTTTTTTTCTTTTTCGTTTTTTTTTATGTGTTAAAGAGATTTCCATCCTATTAATTCATATCTAAATTCTACTCAAATAATATCTTGTCCATAACTTAGGTTTTAGATACTCGTTATAAATGTTGCAACTACTTTAACTTTATTGTATTTTGGGCCTATTCTTCATAATCTACTTCGCTTTAAAAGTCTATACTTGCTCTCTAAGAATATTACTCAATTAAAATCTCTGAAAGTTTAGGTCGAGGTGCTAATCTTTTCCTGGCGAACTAGGATTTTATTATAAGATTTGAGTAATTTCCTTCATTTTATAAATCTTCTTATGTCCTCTTGCTCCTCTTTACCTCAAAAATGTCTAAGCCTTCGTCTTCTAATGACACAGAGTCATTTTAAATTTAAGAGGATCTTAGTTCTGAGGAATAATTACTTGTTTCATTGAAATCTTAGTAGAAATTAAGCTAATTATTGGACAAAACTCTTTTATTACTCATTTTTAGTTTAAGATTTTAAGGTTATTAAATTAATTTGACCTGATCTGACTCTTGAAGGCAATTTTGATTTCTCTTAAGCGAAAATTGGCTAAGTTTTCTTTTTGCTACTTGAGGAATTTTAAGTTAGATTTTTTGACTAGACGAGTCAGATTCATTTGAATTGCTGGCTAATGATGAATTACTTATTTTGGGTCTATTCAGTGGCATTTATTAATTATATTAATTTTCACTAGATGTATTACTAAGAATCTGAGATTGATTGCTACCTGTACCTATAATTTAAGCATCCTCATGTACTTCAAGTGATTAAATAATAATCTACCCAAATTATTTCCTGATAATGTTAAGTTATGGATTTGGCTTTTTTTCTAATTTTTATTCATCATTGATAAAGTTTTATTAAATCTCAATTTCCTAATTGATATGATCTTCTTTTTTAATTGCTGAAACTTAATTTCTTTAATAATCCATTAATCTTCTTCTTGATTAATGAATATCAAAACTTTCATCTTAGCAAATTTCATCAATGACACTAAGCTAAGGGGCTTTTATATTTTCAAAGAATGGTATATGCTTCGTGATATTTTCACCACTAATCAAAAGCTAATATTTTCTTGATTTTCTTTTTTAGTTTTTCTTATTTTTACATCTTTTAATCAAAGTTAATAGTTTTTCCTTAAGTTCTTTGAAGATTATTAAAAATATTATTGAGAAATTAATGCAAACATTTGAAATGTATAGGCCAATGAAGATTTTCCCAAATTAATTCTTAATTTCTGGGCGTTCTACAAAATCTGTAAAAACAATCATTAAATAACTAAACAATAGAGTTGCAATTTCATTAAAAATCTCAAGTCCAAGAGAGTCTTTTAGAGGCTTAAAATATATCAAGTATATCAAATGGCAAATACTACAAAACATAAAATGCAAAATTTGTAGAGTTATCTTATCTGTGCTTGAAAAAACAAAAATAACAAAAATTATCCTTCGAATAATAAAAAATGAGTGGTATAAATAAGATAATATCTACTTTTTGTTTAGAATACTGTATATTTCGCTGATCTATTTTGAAAGTCTCTTATACTTTAACTTGTCCTTTTTTATCTCCAAAAGATAATATGGTAATATTAGTGGGAAAAAAATTGTTAATAGCAAGAAAATTAATCCAATTATATATGATAAGACCTCACCGAAATTATCACTTGTGGGATTTTTGAGATTTAAAACACTAGCGATAGTAGATTCTAGGCATAGCTCCACAAAGAATAATACAATCGTATTATAAAATAGAAGGTTATGTATTTTGCTTGATACCTTTTTTGCCCTAATTACACAATTAAGAATTATAAAATTCTTACCATTCCATCTTAATCAGTCATACTATCAAAAGAAGAAATCCTAAGGCAACATAGTAAAGCAAAAATAGCATAGGAGAGCCAATAAGTTAAATAAAATTTGAGTTATCATAGCCTAAGAAAGCAAATCTATCATTGTATGATTCATAGTTATCTGATGATTTAAGTTGAAAAATATTCTATAGTAATAACTCAGCATTATAAAAGTCGAGGTTAACAATATCAAAAAGTATTTTAAGAAAAATCCAAATATTGGCCGTATACTAGATGGTAAAAAGAGGGGTATGAGTGACCAATTATAAAGTGTTTATCAAACCCCATAAAAACTATAAACTACTGCCTGCTAGAATACCCATTAAGAGACATCCAATTATTATCACTTCAAGAAGCTTTGAGATAATTGTGCTAGCATCTTAGATAGATTCAATGTCTTCATCATATGGGTTAATTTAGGGAGGTATCCATTTATCTGCTGAACATTCTACTGAGATAAGTAGATTTGTATCTGCTGCTTTTATCAAAGTAGGATCTTTGATTTTGACCAAAATTTTAGAGTCTAATGATGATGCCAAAAATTTAGTCTCATTAAAAGCAAGTTTTATTCTTAAGTATTATTTATTTAATTCGATGAGATTCCATTCTTTTATTGCAAATAAAGATATTTATTAATCAATATTTGCTATGTTTATTTCTAATGCCTTCTAGATTTAATTTGCCAAAAGCTCACTAATCATAATTTCTTTAGAGAATTTAATCAATAGTTCTTGATGCATTGATATTGATTAAATTTCAAAGTTTAAATTAAAATCCGTTAAGTTTGATGTTTAATTGTCCAATGCAGAATTATTCTAAATTAAATTAATCACTGGTTTAATCCCTCTTTAATTTTGTTTCTTAGATATGTTTAGTTTAATCATGTATTACTCTGATTAATCTATGCTCGAATTATTCTGGGTTTAGATTTCTAATATCAAATAATATTTTCCTGAATCATTTAATTATGGCTTTATTTATAAATGAGTCTCATTGTATGATACCATCTCTGGAGTTTTATTTAGGAATAACTCAGAGACAGCTAAAGAATAACTTAAATTCAAAGCATTGTTTAATTTTGGGAATTCATAAGTTAAGTTACTACCAACTGAAACTGTAAAGTTATCTTAAATCGGGGTTTCAAAGAAAATAAGTGGCACTCCAATTATTGAAGTATCATTATTTTATTGCTCTGCTGTTGCGTTTGTTTAATTACCTGCATTATTATTATCATCTTCTGTTGTATTTTGGGTATTGTTGGTACTGTTTAAGTTTGTTTAGTTTAAATTATTTGAGTTATTATTTGAAGAATTTGCTTGATTATTGCTTTATGCTACTTCTGTTTAATTACTAGTGCTGTTTTAATTCTCAATTGAGGTGTTATTTTATTCATTTTAATTAGTGTTATTTGTCTGACTATTATTATTTGTTTGATTTGTTGTCAAATTGTTATCACCTGCATTACTACTATTTGTGCTATTGCTATTTTCTACTGGATTAGTAGAATTGTTTGAATTAGTATTATTAGTTGTATTATTTAAGTAAGTTGTATTTCCAGTAAGATTTTATTCTTAAATAGGAACTATCAAAGGTTTAACAACCACTTTGAAATTAAGTGATGATTGATACATATTGCCAAGAATAGCTTTTAATTTTAATTCATAAGTTCCTTATGTTTGATTATTTTATGAATAAATCTTAAATGTGCTCCCAAAACCATTTGCATTTTATATAAATCTTATGAAATTAGGAAGCGGTGAATCGTTTGCCATTATTGCTTCATAAGTCCAAGATTAGTCTACACATATTTTTGAGTAGATGAAATCTTAAAAATTAAGTACTAATTCTGTTTCATTAACTGTGTAGTTGTATTGAGACTGGAATGAGGGTAATAAAATTATTCCTTAAGGTTCCAATTACAGACAATTAGAAGGCAGTTATTATAGATTAACAATCTTGATATCTTAAGATATTATTCCTAACTGTTCTTTATAAATAATTGATTCGGTAGATGGAGTGATAGTTTATTAACTAGGATTGTTGATTTTAGGAATACCAATGCCAAGTTGGAAAATGAAAGAACTTTATAACTCAACAGAATATAGTGCACTTTATATATTATAATCTATACAACCTTAATCTGTAGGATACCTATGAATAAATCCTTACTTTTTTATATAACTAAAGGCATTAATTTAGCTTGTTTGCCCAACAAAGAAGTATTAGTTTTATTCAGTTATGTATCCTATTTTTGGGAATATTGTTTGAGAAATAGTGGTTGAAAGACGAATCTACTATAACAACATTACTGCATAACTATCAAGTAAGGTAATTTTCCCTTGTAAAACAATTGAATTTTCTTTGTAAAATAACATATACGAATATAGCAAGTCAATTTTAACATCTAAGCAATGACTCTTTACATCCATATCTAAGTACCAAGATTAAATTAGGGTTGGTCCTAGAAATGTTTCTTATATTTTAAGTAATCCAATATCAAATCCATCACTACCAAGATTTTCAGCACATGCAAATATTGTTATACTACTCAAAATGGTATTGACAAATTTTGAGAGTTTACTGATTTATTATATTGAAGGTCCATTACTATTTTAAATTTAATATGAATAACTTGGGTTTCCATTTAAAAGATTATACTTTGTGTAACCTAGTTTACCATTATAGCTTCCTCCAAAATAAGCGTAATCATTTGTTGATAACTTTGTAGCTGAGTATCCGATTAGAGGCATCATTGCTGTTCCATAAGATTTGTAATATATTAAAGAATTGAGAGATAGGTCATTATTGACAATTATACCTGAAACTTTTATTCGATTACTCTCTGTTGAAACTATATATATTTTATAATCACTTGTCATCCAAACGCCTATAGCTTATCTCCCAGTCATTATTAAGCTCGAAGTTTATGAATACTCATAGTAAGATTTCCTAAGAAAACCGTTTAAACTATCAAATATTTAAAGTAGAAATGAAGGGTTTGAAGCAAGGACTACTATATATTAAGATGCAACTCCATTTTGATATGTACATTATTGAAATTGTTAGGGCAATATTTATGGAGATTAATTTAAGTCTGGTATTATTTACTTTATCCATTAGAATTATCCAGTAACTTAGTCTAATTATGCAAGGAAACTAGTTTAAACTCAATTGACAATGTCAGTTGAGTAAGATGTACCCCCTATTAATAATTTGTCCTATGTTTGACTATAATCTATGCAATTAAAGCTTGAATCTCCAGTCAATCCTCCTAATATTTATGGATAGGGTTATATTGGCTGAGTTGAAAAACATATCTTGTCTTAAGTTGCTGATAAACTTCTTTGTTCTGAGGTTATTGCCCCTTTGACATAAATTATCAACCAAAATAATCGTATTAGTTTTAAGCAGACGAAATGGATTTGAGCAAGTTATATCATTATAAATAATAGATTCTTTTATTGTTTGTAAGAACGATTTCACTTTATTACATATTTAATTTAATTACAACGAAACTTTTCTCTTTACTTTTTTATTACATAACGAGGGGTTTTGGGGTTTTGGGG